TCACTGGTTACTGAATCCGGCGTTGGCTCGGGTGGCTGTGCCCCCGGAGCCCAGGGACCGGGTCCAGCCGTGGACCCCCGCGCCACTCTCCCTGCCGGCACGGAGCCGCACTGCTGCGCGAACGAGGGGAGGACACTTCCAAGGCGACCGGGAGGCCCCAATGCGAGCCAGCCTCCTGGGGCTGCGCGGGCGCCGGAACCCTGTTGTCAGGGGCTCTAAGCGCCCCGGGAAACCAGAAGTTGGCAACGAGCTCGCGCACCTTCGTTATTTTTCCCTCCGGAAGTTGAGATGCCCTCTGCTCCCAGGGGTTCAGGTTGCGACCTCTGACCCCGGGTCCGGGAGGAAGTACTGCTAGTGGCCGAGGAACCAGGGGTGGAGTGGACAGGGCCGCCCCCAGCCTCTCCCCAACGGCGGGAGGCGCCGAGTCCCCCGCGGACCCGGGAGAAGAGCCAAGGGCTTGTCTGCTCTTGGGGCTCAGGTGAGGGGTCAGCAACGGGGGCCGGAAGTGCTGTTGCGGGTTGGCCGCGGTCCAGACTAACCGGCGTCCCTGGGCGGGCCTGTCCCTTCCTCCCACGCCCTTCGTTTTGAATTTAAATCTCATTGGCGTAGGCTTCCCGCCAGCCCCGGAGGTCAGTCCCCCCAGAGACCGTTTAGCCCAGTGTTCCTCGTCCCTGCCTGCACGTTAGAATGACCTGGGAGCGTTTTAAAGGAATAATGACCCACGTTTGAGAAGACAGGCCAGGAGCCAGCCCCGAGGGTTCTGATTCAATCGGTTAGAAGTCAGTGGCTCCGTTTTTCTTTTTCTTTTAGGTTACATGTTCATGTTATCACGGCCTGACAGTTTTAGCCAAGAAAGTAACAGCAGCGACACCCGCGGCTTGAGCAGAGTGGCTCTGCCCCCGGTTCCCGAAACGCGCCCGCGGCGGTGAGCGAGCCCGGACCTTGGGCCGGGTCAGGCCAGACAGTGAGCGCTGTGCACCCTCCGCCGTTGGCCCAGAGCAGGGGGGCGCCCCGTCAACGGCGCCTGCGAGCCGCAGCGCAGAAGGGGCGCCTGTGGCAAACCTGTGTCGCCGTCATGGTGCCTTGAAGCAATGACAACAGCAGCACGAAGTAGCTGATCACAGACCATCACGATGAGATACTGACATGAAGGGAGCAGATGCTGCTGGGAAAATAGTGCCAAGGGACCGGCTCCACGCTGGCTGCCACAGCCTTCCGTTCGGAGAAGAGGCAACACGCCTGTCTTGTGCTGCGCTCTACCAGGCTTTGCAGATGTCGCTTTCCCTCCTGCTAACACC